CCCCAAAACCCCAAAACCCCTAATAAAAACATATAATATATAAGTGACTTAATAAATTAAATAGCTTTATGATTTATTCAATTATGATTTTCAGGGTTTAACTGATTTTTCAATTGCACATTTTGCTATCCAGAAACACTGATATTTGGCTTAATTTAGCTTTAAAGCCAAAACTTATCTAAGCTTTTGATTAGCAAATCCATCTAAATTTCTCTCATATTAATCTATTCACTAAATATCCTAAATTTATGCCTACATGGAAGCCCTCCATACTCATTAGCATACTCGCAGGTACAACTTATATCCTTATTAATATGATCTACAGTAACCTACTCGACATCTTCTTCATCACACATTAGGAGTTTATGCTTAATTGTTTAAAATTCTCTCTATTTCACTTAATCTATTGCCATCTCTTCTGAGTACTACTTAAGGTTTTTTTGCTGTGTAACCACCATCTACTTTGTTTAATGAAGAATATAGACTAGTTTTGTTTGATCTTACTAGACCTGAGTCTGCTCTTTGTTGAGAACTTTCCATCTGTGCTATTCATAGTACTCCTAGAATAAATGAAACAAAGCAAGTTTAGACTGATTTACTGCTTATTGTTTGATAAGATATAGAAAATTCACTGGCATTAAAGAGGAGGCTTATAATGTGACAAAGGACATATAGTTTTTAAACCAAAATTTATCTAATGAAGTGAGTATTAGATTCACTTAAGTACCTTAGAAATTATCAAGAGCAGATTTGAAAGACTTTGATGAGAGTCTTTATAGGTTAAGAGATCGAGATACTCTCTGGAAAAACTCATTTTTAGAGTATCTATGACTATAATTAAGTCCATAACTGACAATAGGTTTTTCTATGTAAAGTCCTTGCCAATATTGTTTATTTTTGTAGAGGAAATATATAAAATTAGCTTAATCGTAACTTAAGGGAGGATCTAAAGGCTAGCATGTGAAATCAAGATAATGCTATAGGAACAAATCAGTTTTAAGTAATTCACAAGCTTTAGCAAAATACTCAGACTCTTTAAATAGCTTTTTTCCTCTTTTGAGAACATGATACTGACTAAATTATATCTATCCTTTAAAAAATACCTGTGCTGCTTCTAGAATGAATGGATCTGAATCAATCACAATAGACTTTGGTTGAATTGGTTTGTGAAATTTAAGGAATTTTTCAAAGCAAATTTTAAGCGACTCAACTTCTTTTTTGCATATTATAACTCCAAATACTTGAATATCCCCATCCTAGCTAACACCATTTAATACTAAAATATAGTTTTCAATAAACTTCGGACTGAATATGCCATCTATAAACATCAAGTACTCTCCATAGTATTCATATCTATTGATCATATCATTTGTTATAAAAACTAATCTTCTCAACTCATAATCATCAAAGACTCCTTCTCTTACTTCACTTGGGTATTCCTTGACCATGTCCTTTCCAAACTCAACATTCTCTGCCTTGTGTACTATGTCGAATCTCTGACTAATATGATGAAGAAGAGTACATAAGTCAAAATCACGATTGAATCTCGCTCTCAAATGATTGACAATCTCCATGGCAGAGATCTTACAGCCTTACTTAGTCACAAACTCATCTATGTAGTATACTATTTCATTTGACAGTAAAGTATGGTCTGGCTCATGATTATGGCCACTAACTATTTCTTTCAGACACCATTCATCAGTATAATTCTTCTCAAATATCACCTTAGCCTTGCAAGGAATGCTCTTAGCAGTACCTTTTTTATATAGATCATTTTTCCATTGAGTTTTTCTATAGCCTCCATGCTTTTCAAAAACCTTAGTATGTCCAAATGAACACTAAAAGTAAGAGTACTCGACAAGCTGATTCTTCTCAGCCTTTCTAGTATTTTTACGCATTTTAAAGCCGTGATCCTTGGCATAGTCATTATACTTATGAAATAAGTCATCTATATCCATACCGTTATGAGGCAGAGTCTCAAAGTCTGCTTCAAAAAGCACCAAACCCTCATTATCTTTACCCGTTTATTATTATTAAGATTAATTAGAAAATTCATCGTCTAAATACTAATACATTCCCAAACCTAGTATTGCGGGGTTTTGGGGTTTTGGGG